CCATGAACATGGACAGTAGTTCCCATGAACATGGACACTAGTTCCCATGAACATGGACAGTAGTTCCCATGGACATGGACAGTAGTTCCCATGAACATGGATAGTAGTTCCCATGGACATGGACAGTAGTTCCCATAAACATGGACAGTAGTTCCAATGAACATGGACAGTAGTTCCCATGAACATGGACAGTAGTTCCCATGGACATGGACAGTAGTTCCCATGAACATGGACAGTAGTTCCAATGAACCTGGACAGTAGTTCCCATGGACATTGGTTCCCATGGCCATTAGCTCCCATGGAGATGGACAGTAGTTCCCATGAACATGGACATTAGTTCCCATGAACATGGACAGTAGTTCCCATGGACATGGACAGTAGTTCCCATGAACATGGACATTAGTTCCCATGAACATGGACAGTAGTTCCCATGGACACTGGTTCCCATGGATATTAGCTCCCATGAACATGGACAGTAGTTCCCATGAACATGGACAGTAGTTCACATGAACATGGACATTAGTTCCCATGAACATGGACATTAGTTCCCATGGACATTGGTTCCCATGGCCATTAGTTCCCATGGACATGGACAGTAGTTCCCATGAACATGGACATTAGCTCCCATGAACATGGACAGTAGTTCCCATGGACACTGGTTCCCATGGACATTAGCTCCCATGAATATGGACAGTCGTTCCCATGGACACTGGTTCCCATGGACATTAGCTCCCATGAACATGGACAGTAGTTCCCATGGACACTGGTTCCCATGGACATTAGCTCCCATGAACATGGACAGTAGTTCCCATGGACATTGGTTCCCATGGACATTAGCTCCCATGAATATGGACAGTCGTTCCCATGGACACTGGTTCCCATGGACATTAGCTCCCATGAACATGGACAGTAGTTCCCATGGACACTGGTTCCCATGGACATTAGCTCCCATGAACATGGACAGTAGTTCCCATGGACAGTAGTTCCCATGGACATTGGTTCCCATGGACATTGGTTCACATGGACATTGGTTCCCATGGACATGGCACATGGCACAATATGAATATTTCCTCATTAAAATGCATTTTTTTCTCCCCATCATCAACATTGCTCTCCTCCTGCATTAATAGACCTGCCTGCTGCCATCTGAAGGACTCACTGATGACATCTGCAGTCTATATGGTTCCCATAGCAACATTGCATACTGATGGTCCCGAACCCTCAAGCCGCTAATCTGGGCTCGCAGTTCTGGTCAGGTTAACCTTAACACCTGGCAGTTCTGTGGAAGACCCAGATTATCGCCCTAGATTCAGAATCACATCAGAAGTGGACCGGGTCAAAATGAACTGGGTCAGACCTGGACCAGCTCAGACCTGGACTGGGTCAGACCTGGACCGGGTCAGAACCAAATTGATCTGGATCAGACTGGATCCAAGTTCCTTGCACAGCCGGATAAAGTGAAGCAGAACCTTCAGAACCTCCCGCTGTGACGACAGCCTCCAGAACCGCAGCACAGGCTGGATCAGATCCCAGTGGGTTTGCTTTGGTTCTGCATGTGAGGAGGGCTGATGGTTCTGGGCTGAGGATGGCTTCGTTAAACATCCTCACTGAGCGCCCAGCAAACAGGAAGTGACGGCGACGCCCAGTCTCTCATGCTTTTGTCTCAAGGAATTTCCTCCAGAACCAAGGAGAACATTTCCTTTAGGAGCTGCTGAGGCTACAGCGTTGCTGCGACCCGCTTCCTCTGCTGCTCAGAACCAAAGGCCCCCTGACCCAGATGGAGTCTGGACATCCAGCAGCACACAATTCAGAAATGTTCATAAAGACATGGAGGGAAGGATGCAGGAAGAATGGAAGGAAGCAAGAAAAGGAGGCGCTCCTTTGATGTTCCCCTCATCCTCACACTATAAACATCAAAGACCCAAGAAGGAAGCAGACTGTAAAACGATGGTCTCCTAGCAACAGAAACAGCATCTCTGAATGGATCAGGAAGATTTCATTTCTATGGTTCTGATTAGAAAAAATCAGTTTATGCTAAAACATTCTGCTGGAAGGCTCTGCCAAAAATCTGCCAATCCTCCTTTCTGATCTAAAATTTTTTGCTTAAGAAACCGTCTCTTGACCCAGATGACTTGGTCAATTATAGACCTATATCCAATCTTCCTTTCTGATCCAAAATTCTTGAGAAAGTAGTTGCCAAACAAGTTTGCGATCACTTCCACCATAATGAACTTTTTGAAGAGTTTCAGTCTGGCTTTAGAGCTCATCATAGCACTGAAACAGCTCTGGTGAAAGTCACTAATGATATTCTCATGGCCTCAGATAATGGACTTGTATCTGTGCTCGTTCTGTTGGATCTCAGTGCTGCATTTGATACAGTTGATCATAATATTCTTTTAGAAAGACTTGAATATTTTGTTGGAATTAAAGGAACAGCACTAGACTGGTTTAAATCTGATCTATCTGATCGAATTCAGTTTGTTCATGTTAATGATAGATCTTCAACACGCTTAAAGGTTACCTGTGGAGTACCACAGGGATCAGTGCTAGGACCAATTCTCTTTACTTTATACATGCTCCCAATTGGTAGAGTTATTAGACAGCATGGGATTAATTTCCACTGTTATGCTGATGATACCCAGCTATATCTGTCTATAATCCAGATGAAGCTAACCCATTACATAGATTACAGGCATGTCTGAAGACATAAAAACCTGGATGACTCTTAACTTTCTGCTTCTGAATGCAGACAAAACAGAAGTTATAGTCTTTGGACCAGAGTCTCTGAAAAAGAAACTGATTAGCCAGTCACTTCATCTGGATGGGATTAAACTGATTTCAGATAATAAAATAAAAAATCTTGGTGTTATTTTTGATCAGGACCTGTCATTTAAATCCCAGATCAAAGATGTTTCTAGAATTTCCTTCTTTCATCTGAGGAATATTGCTAAAATGAGCAATCTCCTGTCCAGGGGTGATGCTGAGAAACTAGTCCATGCATTTGTTACTTCAAGGCTGGACTATTGTAATTCTTTACTATCAGGAAGTCCACAAACTGTAGTTAAAAGCCTTCAGCTGATCCAAAATGCTGCAGCCAGAGTTCTAATGAAAATGAAAAAGAGAGATCATATCTCTCCTATCCTGGCTTCTCTTCATTGGCTTCCTGTTAAATCCAGAATAGAATTTAAAATCCTCCTTCTCACATATAAAGCCTTAAATGGCCAAGCTCCATCTGATATCAGAGATCTGATTGTTCCTTATGTTCCTAACAGAGCACTTCGCTCTCAATCTGCAGGTTTACTAGTGGTTCCTAGAATTTCTAAAAGTAGAATGGGAGGCAGATCTTTTAGTTCTCAGGCTCCTCTCCTGTGGAACCAACTACCAGTTTTAGTCCGTGAGGCAGACACCCTGTCTACTTTTAAGGCTAGGCTTAAAACTTTCCTTTTTGATAAAGCTTCTAGTTAGAGTGGCTCAGGTTATCCTGATCTATCTCTATAGTTCTGCTGCTATAGGCTTAGACTGCTGGAGGACATAGGGACCCCTTTTTCATCATTCTGCTTCATTCTATCTCTATTCTCCCACTCTGCAGAATCTGTTAGTTCAATCTCTAACGTTCTGCTCTCTCTGCTTTTTCTCATAGTAGCTTCATCTGGTCTGTTCCTGTTTGGCTGTGACTCCATCCTGGAGAGAAATATCAGCTGTGCTGCTGCCATCAACACCTTTGTTTCTAGATGTTGGAGCTTGGCCTGTTTTCCAGTGTAGTCCTGTTTCTCTGACTGTGACTAACTGGATGTGCTCTCTTCATCCTCTGACATGGGAGCTGGCTCGGAGCTCGTCTGCCTGGCTGTGTGTTTCCTGGACGGGGCCGCCTGTGGAGCTGGTTGACAGTTGCCTTTTGTATCTATGCTTCTTTTTCTATGTCTGCTTCTGTCTCCTTGAACCCCAGTGGGCCTCAGCAGATGGCCGCTCACACTGAGCCTGGTTCTGCTGGAGGTTTCTTCCTGTTCAAAGGGAGTTTTTCCTCTCCACTGTCGCTACTAGCATGCTTAGTGTGAGGGATTGCTGAAGAGTCAATGATTCATCTGGTTTTCTTTAGAAAACTTTGAATCAATCTGACTGGATGATCTGACGAACTGTAAAATGACCTGAGATGACGTGTTGTGAACTTGAGCTATAGAAATAAACTCAATAGAATTGAAACATTTAAAAAAAAAACTTTTATTTGAATAAAAAACAGAGACACCAGACACAACAGAACCTCCGTCCTTGACAGAGGAAAGTGTTGGATGGGGGCGGAGCCAGAGAGGGGCCGTGGCTCCCTAGCAACGACCATGCCTACCTGAACATGTTAATGTGCTGGGACTCCAGAGGACGGAGGTTTTATCGGTCTGCTGTCTGATCCACACATTGATCCAAACCGGAAAAACCTGGTTTTAGCATCTGGAATATCTAGCTCTATGTTTAGCTTGGTTGGTTCAGTGAGCTAAGAACCGGGTGAGAACCCCACGGACCTCTTCTAGAACCTCCCTCCTACTGGACCTCATGTCCTTAGTTATCGTGGTTGCCATGGTGATGAAAGGATGGCCAATCAGAAGCTGGTGAGGCTCCAACAGAAGCTCCCCTAAATCAGTGAGAGGAGTCAGAACCAGGGTTCTACAGGAGTCATGTTCTCCACATGGAGCACTGCTTCTCTCCTCACAGAGACCCGGTCCGGTCCGGTCCGGTCCGGTCCATCTGGATGCTGATGTTCCTGTGGTCCAGTTAGAGAGGAGCAGAACCATCAGGTGTCTGTCCTCCTGCTGAGCCTCAGATGGAGGTTCTGTGGTTCGGTCCGGAGCTCAGCTGTTTCTGCATGATGATGATGATGATCATCATCATCATCATCATCATCATCATCATCATCCCCGAGCAGATATGATTACCTCACCAGCAAACCGCGGAGTGTGGTGACGTCACAGCCGGACTGCCTTATTTGGTCCTGCCCCGCGCAGCGTCATCGCTATAAAGGAGGCAAATCCGGCGCACGGAGAGCAGAGAGAGAGAGACAGGGACCAGGACCAGGACCGGACCGGACTATCTGGACTTTACCGAACCGGACCTGCTGAGCGGACAGGATGAAGATACCTCTGCTGCTGCTGCTGCTGTCCGCGCAGAGCTGCTCCGGTGAGTCCTGGAGGGGTGGGGGGGTTAGAGGCTGGAACTACAGCAGATCCTGGTCCAGAACAATCTGAACCTCCACCTTCCTCCATCAGGAGGAGGAGCAGGGTGGGTCTGAACTGAGCTCAGGTGGAGAAGAGCTGAAGGTGGAGGAGCTCCAACCACCAGTTGACTGGGACTAACTACACCTAACCAGAGATAAACACTGTTAACCTAAAATTAAGTTAACCTAAAGTTAACCTGAAGTTAAGCTGAATTAACAGAAAGTAATATAAATTAACCTAAAGTTAACCTAAAGTTAACCTGAAGTTAAGCTGAATTAACAGAAAGTAATTTAAATTGACCTAAAGTTAACCTAAAGTTAACCTGAAGTTAAGCTGAATTAACAGAAAGTAATTTAAATTGACCTAAAGTTAACCTCAGGTTAACCTGAAGTTAAGCTGAATTAACAGAAAGTAATTTAAATTGACCTAAAGTTAACCTAAATTAACAGAAATTAATATAAATTAAACCCAAAGTTAACCTGAAGTTAACCTAGCAGTTCCCTCTCCCAGTCTTCCCCCCTCCTGCTATCCGCCCTGCTTCTCTAAACGTGTAGCGTCCCGCTCAGAGAGCATGGCGGAGCGATGATGTCAGCGCCACCGTCATTCAGCCGTTTAATCCTCAGTAATCCGTTTCCAGGATGACATCACAGCTCAGTGAGGGATGAGGTCTCCAGATAATGACGTTTCTCTGCTGGGTAACCTCTTCCTCAGGCTTCTCCTGTTGGGAGAAGGTGATCTGAGGATGACCTCCTGGCCCCGGGGCCGGGTCGGGGTACAGAGCGGTGATTAGCTCTCCTGGCCCCGGGGCCGGGTCGGGGTACAGAGCGGTGATTAGCTCAGGATGACCTCCTGGCCCCAGGGCCGGGTACAGAGCGGTGATTAGCTCTCCTGGCCCCGGGGCCGGGTCGGGGTACAGAGCGGTGATTAGCTCTCCTGGCTCCTGGGCCGGTGATTAGCTGTTAAAGCCCAGCAAAGCTTTATTGTGATGAAGTCTGACCTTTCATGTGACCAACAGGGGCTACAGACTCATATCCTCCAGCTCACAACCTCACTTGGACCTCCATCAACTTCAAAACCCTCCTGAGCTGGGCCCCCAAACCTTCGGCCGATTACTCCTACACCGTGGAGTTCTCTGTGTGAGTACTACCTGGAAACTTTCAGAGTATACAGGTCCTTAGATGCTGCAGGTCAACGGATCAGTTACTAACAGGTACCAGTCTAAGAACTAGAACTCTATCCAGCAGGAAGGCTGGATATCTACTTCTTTATATACAACTACAGCTACTACTGCATCCAGGGCTGGATAAATGCTGCAATCCGGCCCAGACATTATTGGTCTTCAGCATTTTACCAAAAAACCTTAATAACAGTGTTGAGCTCATTATACAGCCAGAAAATCATCCCTGCTAAGAACAGGTAGGATGGATAGTTCAACAGAGCTATGGCTCTCGCAAATGGATTAAAAAGAAATCTAGCATTATTCTTATTCTTCTCAATTAATGAAGAGAAATATAATGACCCAGCTTTGCAAAGAGTCTTTTTACACAGCTATAAACCATTTCAGACTAAGCAGAACACCCCAAGAAAGGAAGAGTGTCTCTCATAGACTAACCAATGCTTAAAGAAATGGAGCTCAGACTTTAACCAGGTAGTCTGCTTCCTATGGAACAACATCAACAAGATCATTAGGTTTTGAAGGGCAATAAGGGACCAAATTCTTGATTAAGACGTTAAGATGTTACGAAGTTATCCTGCTAGGATCTACAATAATTAAACCATCTTTCAGGAATTTTTAAAACTCAGTTAGCTAAACCTCAGAAGTTGTGAAAAATGGGCAGAGTATTTCTGTTATGATATTTCTTCTCAATGCCGTATGTCAGCAAAAGATCCAAAGTATGAAGATGAGAATGTGTGGGACTATTCACATTTTGAACAAAGCCAATAGTGTCTAAGATAGCATTAAAGGCTGCTCTTAAGCTATCGCCTTCAATGTCAGCATGGATGTTAAAATCTCCCACTATGATGACCCTGTCAGTATTTAATACCAAATCAGAAAGGAACTCTGAAAACTCATCTAAAAATTCAGAGTAAGGACCTGGTGGACGATACAAAGTTACAAAAAGAAGAGGTTTTCTTGCCTTGAAATTTGGATGAGGGAAATTAAGGGTTAAATGTTCAAAAGAGTTGTAGGTATTAACTGTCTTGGTAGTAATCAGTAAGTCAGACTGGAAGATTGTTGCTACTCCTCCTCCTCGCCCAGAACTTCTGGGGATGTGAACATTTAAATAGCTTGAAGGAGTTGCCTCATTTATGCTCACATAATCCTCTTGCTGCAGCCAGGTTTCTGTAAGGCAACACAAGTCAATGTGATTATCACAAATCAAGTCATTAACTAGCAGACTTTTAGAGGAAAGAGATCTTATGTTTGTTTTAACTTTTTTTATTTTAATAAATGTCATCATCCTGCTGCTTTTAGAGGAAGCTTTAGTTGAATAATGTTCCCAATATCCTTCCAAATGTGACAACGGAGGGCTCTTTCTGGGCTAAAACCAACTATGCTTTCAGACTCTACCGATGTGGCCTAGGGGGCAAATTATCAGTCCAGTTCATACCGCCAGTACTACTGATACTATGACCTGATACTACCGCTAATACTGGGGGTACTAGCGCACTGTTATTAGATACCCTCCTAATGTTGCTGCAGAACAGATGTACTTCAATGAATTGTGCTGGAGGACCTTGGTTCCACAGCGAGCATTCAGGCTCCACATCTGTCTGCCAGAGGCCCCTGGTACAGCAGACGACCAGGAGCTGCTGGGTTTGGATGGATCTGGGTGGAGATGGAGGGCGGGTGTAGGATCTGTGTCGGGTGGGGTGGAGGGTGTAGGATCTGGGTGGGGTGGGTGAAGTGGGAGTAGAAAGGACAGTGAAGTATTCTGTCTTTAGAGCACTTGATTGGATCACATCTGTCCCATGCTCTGGTCTCCATAGCAACAGCCCCCCTTTAACCCGGGATCTTGCCGTTGCAGGTCTGGAGGAGACAGACAGAGGATCCACCAATGCATCCGCTCCAACGCCACGGAGTGCGACCTGTCCCGCTCCCTGACGGAGCTGAAGTCCTGCTACACGGCCGACGTCCTGTCAGAACCGCCGCTGGGAACCACATCGGACCTCACCGAGTTCCCTCACTCCACCTCGCCACGGTTCTGCCCCTACCAAGACAGTAGGTTCCACTACAACCGCTTCAATATGGAGAACATCTCCCCCTGACCCCCATCATCCTCCCCCTGACCCCATCATCCTCCCCCTGACCCCATCATCCTCCCCCTGACCCCCATCATCCTCCCCCTGACCCCCATCATCCTCCCCTGACCCTCATCATCCTCCCCCTGACCTCTATCATCCTCCCCCTGACCCTCATCATCCTCCCCCTGACCCCCATCCTCCCCCTGACCCCCATCCTTCCCCTGACCCTCTATCATCCTCCCCCTGACCCCCATCATCCTCCCCCTGACCCCCATCATCCTCCCCCTGACCCTCATCATCCTCCCCCTGACCTCTATCATCCTCCCCCTGACCCTCATCATCCTCCCCCTGACCCCCATCCTCCCCCTGACCCCCATCCTTCCCCTGACCTCTATCATCCTCCCCCTGACCCCCCATCATCCTCCCCCTGACCCCCATCATCCTCCCCCTGACCCTCATCGTCCTCCCCCTGACCCCCATCGTCCTCCCCCTGACCCCCATCGTCCTCCCCCTATCCCGAGGTTCTGATCGGGTCTCAGCTGGCCAGGTCCGATCCCGAGGTTCTAATCGGGTCTCAGCTGGCCAGGTCCGATCCCGAGGTTCTGATCGGGTCTCAGCTGGCCGGGTCCGATCCCGAGGTTCTGATCGGGTCTCAGCTGGCCGGGTCCGATCCCGAGGTTCTGATCGGGTCTCAGCTAGCCGGGTCCGATCCTGAGGTTCTGATCGGGTCTCAGCTCGCTTGGTTCTACCACGCCATGCCCAGCCCTGCGGTGGCGTCTCTTCCAGTTCTGACGCCTCAAAGGCTCAGTGGGAGGAGCCTTTTTATGTTCCTGTCAGAGTCTGCAGCACCTGACCCGTTACCCGTTACTCTGGACCCAATCAGAACCTCCCTGCCTGTTCCAGGCCCAATCAGAACCTCCCTTGCTGTTCCAGGCCCATTCAGAACCTCCCTTGCTGTTCCAGGCCCAATCAGAACCTCCCTTGCTGTTCCAGGCCCAATCAGAACCTCCCTTGCTGTTCCAAGCCCAATCAGAACCTCCCTGCCTGTTCCAGGCCCAATCAGAACCTCCTGCTCTCACCAGCAGAACATCAACGCTCCTCCTGTCTTGAGTACAGGAGAGTGATCATGGTCCTGACCCGGTTTCCCTACCCGGTCCTGATGAACAGATCCTGTAAAAGTACTCAGACCCTGCAGGTCTAGTGTGATCCAGACAGAACCTCAGATGGTGGAACCAGGAAGACTCTTCCTCTGGTTCAGAGCTCCTCTCTGCCATCACCCTAATGTTTAGAACCTGATTGGGCCGGTTCCTCGGTTCTGCAGAACCGCCAGCTGTTCCACAGAGGATCCACACCCACCATCCGTCTGCTCTGTCCCACAGCCGACATCGGGAGGCCCGACTTCAGCCTGAACGTCAGCCAGGACCAGCAGACCACCACGCTGTACGTGAGCGACCCCCCCACCGCGCTCTTCATCGGTGACCGCCAGTTGAACATCAGAGACGTCTTCGCTGACGACCTGCGATACAGAGTCAAGTACCGGAAGAAGAAGAGCAGCGGCATAGTGAGTAACCTCCCCCTCCTCCCCCTCAGTCAGACACCCCCCCCCCCCCCCCCCCCATCCAGCTGACGCCTCCTTTTCCTCCAGAAAACCTTGGACTCCGGCTTCAGCGTGATCCCCATGAGCAGTCTGGACCGCGGAGAGAGCTACTGCTTCACCGTCCAGGCGTACATCCCCAGCCGCCGCACCGCCAAGCAGTTTGGAGAGGAGAGCGCCACCAAGTGTTCTGGAGGGGAGGAGCGGTCCATCTTCAAAGGTCAGTTCTGAGCGCGGCGGATCCGGTCTGGACCCACGCTGCCTTCGGGCTCCATCAGGACGTCTGGGCCCTGCTACTGACCTGCTGCCTTCCTTGTTGCAGTCTTTTCTCCGGCTGTGATCGCTGGCGGTCTCCTGCTCATCCCGCTGACCCTCGGCCTGATCGTCACCGTCATCTGCTGGAAGCGGAAGAGAAAAGCGGCGAAGGCTGGGATGGAGCGGCGTCCTCTGAGGGACGCCTAGGCGTCCGTGGCGGAGCGGTGCTGGCTGAGGTTTCTGTGAAACGTTTGAACTCAGCTTCAGCAGCTTCAGGTTCTGTCTGACAGCGGTACGTCTGACCGGGTTCCACCCAACCTCAATCTGGACTGGCTGGTTTCCATGGCGATAGAGAAGCTGGGATCATTTTATTTTTTTACTAATGGAATATTTTCTACCTGCTGTTTAATTTATTGTGGGTTCTGGTGGGGTGATTTTATGGATGTTTGAATCAAACTAACTTTTTATGGATCCTGATGTTCTGCTTTGATCTGAATCAATAAAGATTTTCATCTTAAAGCCTGAAATGTCTGTCGGATCACAACACATTTAGAACCGGGCCGGCGCCGGCAGAACCTCCTCCACAGCCAGGCCAAACCTGGGCCGACAGCGCCCCCTCGTGGAGGCCCAGGAGGTCCGATCAGGACCGATGAGGAAATGAAGGACAACAGGCGGGTTCTAACGGTTGGATTTATTTCAGTGCAAAAAGAGATCAACAGCTGAGTTAAGGCCTCTTTACATTCCATCATCTGCTTATTGGTCAAGTTCATTAGTAGGAGGAGTTCTGGTCCTCAGAGGAGTCCCACCACCACCTGCTCCAGAAACGGCAGGGAGGCGGTTCAAATGCAGCAGACCGCCTGGACCCAGTCTGGGTCCAACCACCGTTCATGATGAGCAGGAGAGACGAATCAGGAGGGGATCAGGGAGACAGGGTCTACTGGACAGACCGGACCTGCAGGACAGACCGACCTGCTGGTCCAGTCCGTCCTGCTGGACCTGCAGGACAAACCGACCGGCAGGACAGACCGACCTGCTGGACCTGCAGGAGAGACCGGACCTGGAGGTCCAGTCCGTCCTGCTGGACCTGCAGGACAGACCAGACCTGCAGGACAGACCGTACCTGCAGGACAAACCGACCGGCAGGACAGACCGGACCTGCAGGACAGACCGACCTGCTGGACAGACCGGACCTGGAGGTCCAGTCCGTCCTGCTGGACCTGCAGGACAAACCGACCGGCAGGACAGACCGTACCTGGAGGTCCACTCCATCCTGCTGGACCTGCAGGACACATATTTGGTCATCTCTTGGGTCAAACTGGCACGCAAGGGGAAAACAGAACTAGATCACATAGATTAACCCAAACTAAATTAACATGTTAAATAGCAAAAAACATTTTACAAATAATTACAAATTATTTTCTAGTATCAGCTGCGATTTGCCTCAGAACTTAGTTAATAGACTGCTTCTAAGAGAACGATTCTAGGAGCCAAACTCTACGGTTTCCTCTGTGATGCGCTTGAACTCGTAGTTTCCTCTGCCGTCCATGTGGAGATAGAACTAGAGGAAAAAGAGAGGGTTACTACAGAACCACCGATGATCCATCTGGACCAGGAACCTTTGGAGAGAAGGAACTTACCTCATGGTGCTTCCACAGGGACTTTCTGTGGGACACCGTGAATAACGTGATGCCAACCTGTGGGCCAGATAGAAAACGTCATGTAGAGCAGGCCAAGGTCCACAGTCTATAGAGACCAAGGTCCACAGTCTATAGAGACCAATGTCCACTAGGACCAAGGTTCACAGTCTATAATAGAGACCAAAGTCCACAGTCTATAGAGACCAAGGTCCACAGTCTATAGAGACCAAGGTCCACAGTCTTTAGAGACCAAGGTCCACAGTCTATAGAGACCAATGTCCACTAGGACCAAGGTTCACAGTCTATAGAGACCAAGGTCCACAGTCTATAGAGACCAATGTCCACTAGGACCAAGGTTCACAGTCTATAATAGAGACCAAAGTCCACAGTCTATAGAGACCAAGGTCCACAGTCTATAGAGACCAAGGTCCACAGTCTTTAGAGACCAAGGTCCACAGTCTATAGAGACCAATGTCCACTAGGACCAAGGTTCACAGTCTATAGAGACCAAGGTCCACAGTCTATAGAGACCAATGTCCACTAGGACCAAGGTTCACAGTCTATAGAGACCAAGGTCCACAGTCTATAGAGACCAATGTCCACTAGGACCAAGGTTCACAGTCTATAATAGAGACCAAGGTCCACAGTCTATAGAAACCAGGGTCCACTGGGACCAAGGTCCACAGTCTATAGAAACCAGGGTCCACTGGGACCAAGGTCCACAGTCTATAGAGACCAGGGTCCACTAGGACCAAGGTCCACAGTCTATAGAGACCAAGGTCCACTAGGACCAAGGTCCACAGTCTATAGAGACCAAGGTCCACAGTCTATAATAGAGACCAAGGTTCACAGTCTATAATAGAGACCAAGTTCCAGTAGGACCAAGGTCCACAGTCTATAGAGACCAAGGTCCACAGTCTATAGAGACCAAGGTCAACGTCTATAGAGACCAAGGTCCACTAGGACCAAGGTCCACAGTCTATAATAGAGACCAAGGTCCACAGTCTATAGAGACCAGGGTCCACTGGGACCAAGGTCCACAGTCTATAGAGACCAGGGTCCACTAGGACCAAGGTCCACAGTCTATAGAGACCAAGGTCCACTAGGACCAAGGTCCACAGTCTATAGAGACCAAGGTCCACAGTCTATAATAGAGACCAAGGTTCACAGTCTATAATAGAGACCAAGTTCCAGTAGGACCAAGGTCCACAGTCTATAGAGACCAAGGTCCACAGTCTATAGAGACCAAGGTCAACGTCTATAGAGACCAAGGTCCACTAGGACCAAGGTCCACAGTCTATAATAGAGACCAAGGTCCACAGTCTATAGAGACCAAGGTCAACGTCTATAGAGACCAAGGTCCACTAGGACCAAGGTCCACAGTCTATAATAGAGACCAAGGTCCACAGTCTATAGAGACCAGGGTCCACTGGGACCAAGGTCCACAGTCTATAGAGACCAGGGTCCACTAGGACCAAGGTCCACAGTCTATAGAGACCAAGGTCCACTAGGACCAAGGTCCACAGTCTATAGAGACCAAGGTCCACAGTCTATAATAGAGACCAAGGTTCACAGTCTATAATAGAGACCAAGTTCCAGTAGGACCAAGGTCCACAGTCTATAGAGACCAAGGTCCACAGTCTATAGAGACCAAGGTCAACGTCTATAGAGACCAAGGTCCACTAGGACCAAGGTCCACAGTCTATAATAGAGACCAAAGTCCACAGTCTATAGAGACCAAGGTCCACTCGGACCAAGGTCCACAGTCTATAATAGAGACCAAGGTCCACAGTCTATAGAGACCAGGGTCCACTGGGACCAAGGTCCACAGTCTATAATAGAGACCAACGTCCACAGTCTATAGAGACCAGGGTCCACTAGGACCAAGGTCCACAGTCTAGAGACCAAGGTCCACTTGGACCAAGGTCCACAGTCTATAATAGAGACCAAGGTCCACAGTCTATAGAGACCAGGGTCCACTGGGGCCAATGTCCAGAGTCTATTATAGACACCAAGGTCCACAGTCTATTATAGAGACCAGGGTTCACTAGGACCAATGTACACAGTCTATTATAGAGACCAACGTCCACAGTCTATAGACACCAAGGTACACTAGGACCAAGGGTGACAGTCTATAGACACCAAGGTCCACAGTCTATTATAGAGACCAGGGTTCACTAGGACCAATGTCCACAGTCTATTATAGAGACCAACGTCCACAGTCTATAGACACCAAGGTCCACTAGGACCAAGGGTGACAGTCTATAGACACCAAGGTCCACAGTCTATTATAGAGACCAGGGTCCACTAGGACCAAGGTCCAGAGTCTATTATAGAGACCAAGGTCCACTAGGCCCAAGGGTGAATGTCTATAGACACCAATGTCCACTAGGACCAAGGGTGAGAGTCTATAGACACCAAGGTCCAGGGTCTATTATAGAGACCAAGTCCACTAGGCCCAAGGGTGAATGTCTATAGACACCACTTTTCAGGGTCTATTATAGAGACCAAGGTCCACTAGGACCAAGGGTGAGAGTCTATAGACACCAAGGTCCAGGGTCTATTATAGAGACCAAGGTCCACTAGGACCAAGGGTGAGTCTATAGACACCAAGGTCAAGGGTCTATTATAGAGACAAAGTCCACTAGGACCAAGGGTGAGAGTCTATAGACACCAAGGTCCAGGGTCTATTATAGAGACCAAGTCCACTAGGACCAAGGGTTAGAGTCTATAGACACCAAGGTCCAGGGTCTATTATAGAGACCAAGTCCACTAGGACCAAGGTTGAGAGTCTATGGATACCAAGGTCCAGGGTCTATTATAGAGCCCAAGGTCCACTAGGACCAAGGGTGAGAGTCTATAGACACCAAGGTCCAGGGTCTATTATAGAGACCAAGTCCACTAGGACCAAGGGTGAGAGTCTATAGACACCAAGGTCCACTAGGACCAAGGGTGACAGTCTATGGATACCAAGGTCCAGGGTCTATTATAGAGCCCAAGGTCCACTAGGACCAAGGGTGACAGTCTATGGATACCAAGGTCCAGGGTCTATTATAGAGCCCAAGGTCTACTAGGACCAAGGGTGAGAGTCTATAGACACCAAGGTCCAGGGTCTATTATAGAGACCAAGTCCACTAGGACCAAGGGTTAGAGTCTATAGACACCAAGGTCCAGGGTCTATTATAGAGACCAAGTCCACTAGGACCAAGGGTGAGAGTCTATAGACACCAAGGTCCAGGGTCTATTATAAAGACCAAGGTCCACTAGGACCAAGGGTTAGAGTCTATAGACACCAAGGTCCAGGGTCTATTATAAAGACCAAGGTCCACTAGGACCAAGGGTGAGTCTATAGACACCAAGGTCAAGGGTCTATTATAGAGACAAAGTCCACTAGGACCAAGGGTGAGAGTCTATGGATACCAAGGTCCAGGGTCTATTATAGAGCCCAAGGTCCACTAGGACCAAGGGTGAGAGTCTATAGACACCAAGGTCCAGGGTCTATTATAGAGACCAAGTCCACTAGGACCAAGGGTTAGAGTCTATAGACACCAAGGTCCAGGGTCTATTATAGAGACCAAGTCCACTAGGACCAAGGGTGAGAGTCTATAGACACCAAGGTCCAGGGTCTATTATAAAGACCAAGGTCCACTAGGACCAAGAGTGAGTCTATAGACACCAAGGTCAAGGGTCTATTATAGAGACAAAGTCCACTAGGACCAAGGGTGAGAGTCTATGGATACCAAGGTCCAGGGTCTATTATAGAGCCCAAGGTCCACTAGGACCAAGGGTGACAGTCTATAGACACCAATGTCCAGGGTCTATTATAGAGACCAAGGTCCACTAGGACCAAGGGTTAGAGTCTATAGACACCAAGGTCCAGGGTCTATTATAGGGCCCAAGGTCCACTAGGACCAAGGGTGACAGTCTATAGACACCAATATCCAGGGTCTATTATAGAGACCAAGGTCCACTAGGACCAAGGGTGAGAGTCTATAGACAGCAAGGTCCACAGTCTATAGACACCAAGGTCCACAGTTTATGGTGACCAAGGTCACTAGTCTATAGAGACCAGGGTCCACTATGCAGTGTGCTGCATTAACAAGTCACTGTTTCCATGGTATCTGGTGGAGCTCCACCCTGAGGTGGCAGTGGTCTTACCTTTCTGCAGTGGCTGTAGATGTAGTCCTCCACGTCCACACTCACTGCGCTGGTGCACTCGTCCAGAATGGCAAACTGGGGCTTATGGTAGAACAGCCTGGCCATCTTCAGCAGAGGAACATCCAGGGAAGAAGAAGACAGTGATCATGGCGGTCCTTCCTAGTTCTAAGACCAACCAGTGAAACGGTGAGTCCTTACAGCCATCCTCTGCTTCTCCCCTCCACTGAGGACGTCCATCCAGTCCTGGACCACGTCCCAGCTGCCCTCCCTGTCCAGAATGTGGCCCAGCTGGACATTGTCCAGATACTCCTTCAATACCTATATGGACAAAGACCAACAAGGCGTTCAGAACCGGCCCAGAGGAGGAGCGGGACAGAGGAGCGGGCCAGAGGAGGAGTGGCCCAGAGGAGGAGAGGGCCAGAGGAGGAGCTGGACAGAGGAGCGGGCCAGAGGAGGAGTGGCCCAGAGGAGGAGAGTGCAAGAGGAGGAGCTGGACAGAGGAGCGGGCCAGAGGAGGAGTGGCCCAGAGGAGGAGAGGGCCAGAGGAGGAGAGGGCCAAAGGAGGAGGGGCGGGCCAAATGAGGAGTGGGCCAGAGGAGGAGTGGCCCAGAGGAGGAGTGGGCCAGAGGAGGAGTGGCCCAGAGGAGGGGCCTGCTGTGTCGTACCTGGTCAGAGATGCCTTTCCTCCTCTGCTCTTCAACAGTGTCTGGATAGATGACCTGATCCCTCAGAGAGCCCAGAGTCATGTACGGCCTCTGGAAGAAAGACAAGCGTCACACATCAGGCGCCCCCTACAGGCAGCCGCAGGTCAGACTGACTGCAGCCCGGTTGGTTCTGGAACAACTCTGCCTGGATCTATAGATGTGGTCGTCCCTGGTTAGCTTAGCACTTAGCTCCAGGCTCAAGGTCGGTCAGAGCTTCCCCTGATCCTGATGAACCCAAGGTTCTGAATGGGACAGAACCACCTGCTTATGGACCAGAACCACCCGTTTATGGACCAGAACCACCTATATATGGACCAGAACCACCTATATATGGATCAGAACCACCTATATATGGACCAGAGCCAGCCGTTTATGGACCAGAACCACCTATATATGGACCGGAACCACGCGTTTATGGACCAGAACCACCTATATATGGACCAGAACCACCTATTTATGGACCGGAACCACCCGTTTATGGACCAGAACAACCTATATATGGACCAGGACCACCCGTTTATGGACCAGAGCCACCTATATATGGACCGGAACCACCCGTTTATGGACCAGAACAACCTATATATGGACCAGAACCACCCGTTTATGGACCAGAACCACCCGTTTATGGACCAGAACCACCCGTTTATGGACCAGGACCACCTATATATGGACCAAAACCACCTATATATGGACCAGAACCACCTATATATGGACCGGAACCACGCGTTTATGGACCAGAACCACCTATATATGGACCAGAACCACCTATATATGGACCAGAACCACCTATATATGGACCAGAACCACCTATATATGGACCAGAACCACCTATTTATGGACCGGAACCACCCGTTTATGGACCAGAACAACCTATATATGGACCAGAACCACCCGTTTATGGACCAGAACCACCCGTTTATGGACCAGAACCACCCGTTTATGGACCAGGACCACCTATTTATGGACCAAAACCACCTATATATGGACCAGAACCACCTATATATGGACCGGAACCACCCGTTTATGGACCAGAACCACCTATATATGGACCAGAACCACCTATATATGGACCAGAACCACCTATATATGGACCGGAACCACCTATATATGGACCGGAACCACCCGTTTATGGACCAGAACAACCTATATATGGACCAGAACCACCCGTTTATGGACCAGAACCACCCGTTTATGGACCAGAACCACCCGTTTATGGACCAGGACCACCTATATATGGACCAAAACCACCTATATATGGACCAGAACCACCTATATATGGACCGGAACCACCCGTTTATGGACCAGAACCACCTATATATGGACCAGAACCACCTATATATGGACCAGAACCACCTATTTATGGACCGGAACCACCCGTTTATGGACCAGAACAACCTATATATGGACCAGGACCACCTATATATGGACCAAAACCACGTATATATGGACCAGAACCACCTATATATGGACCGGAACCACCTATATATGGACCGGAACCACCCGTGTATGGACCAGAACCACCTATATATGGACCAGAACCACCTATATATGGACCAGAACCACCTATATATGGACCAGAACAACCTATATATGGACCAGAACCACCCGTTTATGGACCAGAACCACCCGTTTATGGACCAGAACCACCCGTTTATGGACCAGGACCACCTATATATGGACCAAAACCACCTATATATGGACCAGAACCACCTATATATGGACCGGAACCACGCGTTTATGGACCAGAACCACCTATATATGGACCAGAACCACCTATATATGGACCAGAACCACCTATATATGGACCAGAACCACCTATTTATGGACCGGAACCACCCGTTTATGGACCAGAACAACCTATATATGGACCAGAACCACCCGTTTATGGACCAGAACCACCCGTTTATGGACCAGAACCACCCGTTTATGGACCAGAACCACCCGTTTATGGACCAGGACCACCTATTTATGGACCAAAACCACCTATATATGGACCAGAACCACCTATATATGGACCGGAACCACCCGTTTATGGACCAGAACCACCTATATATGGACCAGAACCACCTATATATGGACCAGAACCACCTATATATGGACCAGAACCACCTATATATGGACCGGAACCACCTATATATGGACCGGAACCACCCGTTTATGGACCAGAACCACCTATATATGGACCAGAACCACCTATTTATGGACCGGAACCACCCGTTTATGGACCAGAACAACCTATATATGGACCAGAACCACCCGTTTATGGACCAGAACCACCCGTTTATGGACCAGAACCACCCGTTTATGGACCAGGACCACCTATTTATGGACCAAAACCACCTATATATGGACCAGAACCACCTATATATGGACCGGAACCACCCGTTTATGGACCAGGACCACCTATATATGGACCAAAACCACCTATATATGGACCAGAACCACCTATATATGGACCGGAACCACCCGTTTATGGACCAGAACCACCTATATATGGACCAGAACCACCTATATATGGACCAGAACCACCTATTTATGGACCGGAACCACCCGTTTATGGACCAGAACAACCTATATATGGACCAGGACCACCTATATATGGACCAAAACCACCTATATATGGACCAGAACCACCTATATATGGACCGGAACCACCTATATATGGACCGGAACCACCCGTGTATGGACCAGAACAACCTATATATGGACCAGAACCACCTATATATGGACCAGAACCACCTATATATGGACCGGAACCACCCGTTTATGGACCAGAACCACCTATATATGGACCAGAACCACCTATATATGGACCGGAACCCCCCGTTGATGGACCAGAACCACCCGTTTATGGACCAGGACCACCTATATATGGACCAAAACCACCTATATATGGACCAGAACCACCTATATATGGACCAGAACCACCTATATATGGACCAGAACCACCTATATATGGACCGGAACCACCCGTTTATGGACCAGAACCACCTATATATGGACCAGGACCACCTATATATGGACCAAAACCACCTATATATGGACCAGAACCACCTATATATGGACCGGAACCACCCGTTTATGGACCAGAACCACCTATATATGGACCAGAACCACCTATATATGGACCAGAACCACCTATTTATGGACCGGAACCACCCGTTTATGGACCAGAACAACCTATATATGGACCAGGACCACCTATATATGGACCAACCAAAACCACCTATATATAGACCAGAACCACCTATATATGGACCGGAACCACCTATATATGGACCGGAACCACCCGTGTATGGACCAGAACCACCTATATATGGACCAGAACCACCTATATATGGACCGGAACCACCCGTTTATGGACCAGAACCACCTATATATGGACCAGAACCACCTATATATGGACCGGAACCACCCGTTTATGGACCAGAACCACCTATATATGGACCAGAACCACCCGTTTATGGACCAGAACCACCTATATATGGACCAGAACCACCTATATATGGACCGGAACCACCCGTTTATGGACCAGAACAACCTATATATGGACCAGAACCACCCGTTTATGGACCAGAACCACCCGTTTATGGACCAGAACCACCCGTTTATGGACCAGGACCACCTATATATGGACCAAAACCACCTATATATGGACCAGAACCACCTATATATGGACCGGAACCACCCGTTTATGGACCAGAAGCACCTATATATGGACCAGAACCACCTATATATGTACCAGAACCACCTATATATGGACCGGAACCACCCGTTTATGGACCAGAACAACCTATATATGGACCAAAACCACCTATATATGGACCAGAACCACCTATATATGGACCGGAACCACCTATATATGGACAAGAACCACCCGTTTATGGACCAGAACCACCCGTTTATGGACCGGAACCACCCGTTTATGGACCGGAACCACCCGTTTATGGACCGGAACCACCGATATATGGACCGGAACCACCCGTTTATGGACTGGAACCACCTATATATGGACCAGAACCACCGATATATGGACCGGAACCACCTATACATGGACCAGAACCACCTATATATGGACCAGAACCACCTATATATGGACCGGAGACACTTTTTTATGGACCGGAACTAGCTATATATGGACCGGAACCACCTATATATGGACCGGAACCACCCGTTTATGGACCAGAACCACCCGTTTATGGACCAGAACCACCCGTTTATGGACCAGAACCACCCGTTTATGGACCGGAACCACCCATATATGGACAGGAACCACCCATATATGGACCGGAACCACCCGTTTATGGACCGGAACCACTCGTTTATGGACCGGAACCACCTATATATGGATCGGAACCACCTATATATGGACCAGACTGACAGAGTCCACCTCTCAGGGAACGTTTGGCTGCAATGTTCTACATTTCTCAGTTTAATAAAATATGGAGAAAATTTACTATCTACCTAGTGGAGCCGCGGGCCGTTAGGCTAACAGCTAACTATAACATTAACTATATATACATTCCTTTAGCTGAGAGGTACAGTGTGTTAGCACGGCAGAGAGTGAAAACTAAAGGGTTAGATGATAACAGAGACATTTAAATATATATTGTATAATATAGTGTTCTGACAGTGGATTCCTCTCTGGGTGTCTTTGACCTTCACCGGTGATCATCAGCCAGGAGGAGTTTTACCTGAGGAACGTAGAAGAGCTTTCCTCTCTCTGGTTTGGTCAGGCTCCCACCAAACAGCGGCCACAGCTGGGAACAGAAAAACAGGCAGAGCGGTCAGCGGCCTTTCTGACGTCCAGAGAGGCGGAGCCTGACGACCTCATCCAGACTAGAACCAGACTAGAACCAGGTCAGAACCAGGTCAGGACCAGGCCAGAACCAGACTAGAACCAGGTCAGGACCAGGCCAGAACCAGACTAGAACCAGGTCAGAACCAGGTCAGAACCAGGTCAGAACCAGGTCAGGACCAGGTCAGGACCAGGTCAGAACCAGGTCAGAACCAGGTCAGGACCAGGTCAGGACCAGGTCAGAACCAGGTCAGGACCAGGCCAGCCTACAGCAGAAGGAAGCAGGCTGCGTTACTGAATCCAAACACTCTCACCTCTCCAAGCACTCGGAACAAGGAGCTCTTTCCGCAGCCGTTGGGTCCACAAACCAGAACATTGGTTCCGGACCTCACCTTGAAAACACACAGAAGAGAGGAGACATCATTCCACAGACGTTCTACAGGCATGAATGGGATCAGCTCGGTCCATAAAGTCTGAGCTAGGCCACAGCCCCCCACAGGTAACACCCTCACCTCCAAGGAGAGGTCTCTGATCAGCAGGTCACCATTGGGCGTGGCCAGTGGAGTGTGGTCAAACCTGTAGGACCAAAGAAAAGCAAAGATGAGTCTAGCAGAGAGAGCTGCGCTGGTATCCAGAGAGAAGGGGGACGTACTTGATGATGTTGTCTCTGTTGATAACCTGTCCACTTCCAGGAACCAGCAGGCTTTTCTCTGGACTCTCTGCTTCTAGGTGGAACAATAAAACACCATTCAGCTTCATGCTCACAGCTGATGTCAGAGCTGTGGTTGTGAACGTACCCCTCTCATGCTGGGACACCATGGTGCGTTCATATTTGCCAGCATTCAGCTCCTTTAGGACGGTCATCAGCTCCGTGATGCGAGCGGTGAACCTATAGGGACACAGAAACAGGCAGGGTCAGAGCCGGACGCCGTGTCCGTGGCGGCTTCCTCCAGCAGACCGCCCTGCATTCAGATCACACCTGGAGCGCATCATCAGCTGTGTGAAGCTGACACTCCTCTGAGGTGAATAAGACAGCAGATGGACTGAGGGGACAGGGCTTCTTTAAAATGGGCATTACTAAAGATTCAATAAATAAGATCTGCTGTTTCAGAGATATTATTCTTTAGGTCACATTTTAATTACAGCCGATGACATCATCACCCCAGCAGACCTTAGCGCTGAGCTGGTTTCCTGATATCAACTTATTGCATCACAGTCATTCCTGAATAGAACAGTGACTTCATTTACTGGCTGGAATGATTGTTTAATGTTTAGTGACCCTCTGCTTTGGACCTGCCGTTACCCCTGGCAACCCCATGTCATTTCCTGTCAGCATTTCACAATAAAAGCCCAGGTGACCCTCAACATCAGGGCCTAATGCCAAACGGTTCTCTGTGAACAACCTTTGAATCTCCTTGTGATTCAGCAGGACTTCCCCGTAAATCTCACTGCAGGAGGAACCAGCTGAGGAGGAACCAGCTGAGGAGGAACCAGCTGAGGAGGAACCAGCTGAGGAGGAACCAGCTGAGGAGGAACCAGCTGAGGAGGAACCAGCTGAGGAGGAACCAGCTGAGGAGGAACCAGCTGAGGTTCGCTGCTCCTCTCTCTCCATGAGGTGCTGCTGTCTGCCCTCAGCTCTATCGAGGAGCAGCAGCAGGTGGGGGAGGAGCAGTGAGCACTCTCACCACGGGGAGTCACTACTTCCCCGCTGCTTTGCGTAGAGATATTATGCAGATCCGTCGTCGCCATGGACACCACGCTGGGTCTGAACCAACGTAACCAAAACAAGCCATCTTCCATTCAGACCCTGACCCGTCCTCTACTCTCAGTAACTGAGTGGTCAGATTAAAGCGCCACCTGCTGACCATCAGGGCTCAGCAGCTGAGGTCATGGGAGGACATAACCTGGACATGATGAGCTCACCCTGACAGGCGGGTCATCTCCCGCCCAGCCAGGACGATCCTCCCCAGGGCCTGAGACATCCTCAGCAGCATCCTGCCGCTCTGGTAGTAGTCCTGGAGGACACATTAGAGACGCCTGTTAGAGCTCAGAGCACATCACAGGAGGGGACACATCACAGGAGGGGACACATTAAAGGAGGGGACACATTAAAGGAGGGGACACATTAAAGGAGGGGACACATTAAAGGAGGGGACACATCACAGGACGGGACACATCACAGGACGGGACACATCACAGGAGGGGACACATCACAGGAGGGGACACATTAAAGGAGGGGACACATTAAAGGAGGGGACACATCACAGGACGGGACACATCACAGGACGGGACACATCACAGGAGGGGACACATCACAGGACGGGACACATCACAGGACGGGACACATCACAGGAGGGGACACATTAAAGGAGGGGACACATCACAGGACGGGACACATCACAGGACGGGACACATCACAGGAGGGGACACATCACAGGACGGGACACATCACAGGACGGGACACATCACAGGACGGGACACATCACAGGACGGGACACATCACAGGACGGGACACATCACAGGACGGGACACATCACAGGACGGGACACATCACAGGAGGGGACACATCACAGGACGGGACACATCACAGGACGGGACACATCACAGGAGGGGACACATCACAGGACGGGACACATCACAGGACGGGACACATCACAGGACGGGACACATCACAGGACGGGACACATCACAGGACGGGACACATTAAAGGAGGGGACACATTAAAGGAGGGGACACATTAAAGGCCTGGGGACACTTGAAAGGCCGTGAGGGTACCAGTGTGTGAGATGTTCTTACCTCCAGCAGGTCAGAGTGCGTGCTGTGCAGATGTCGGGGGTCGGACAGGTTAAGGAAGGGCCGGCTGACCACCAGGTAGCCCACCACTGTTGCTATGTCTGCAGATCAAAGCCCATTGGTCAAAGTCAGTATGGTAGGGAGGGCGCAGGACATGGTTCTACAATGGGACGTCAGATCAGATCTAGGTTTACGTCTCTACTCACACTTGGCGACGATGCCGTCCACGAAGCCCATGGAGAAGCGGAAAAAGATGAAGTTATGCAGATGATCCACCTGTGCAGAGAAAGACATGAGGAAGCAGAACATTTATCAATCATCTATTCCTCAGCCAGGTTTCTGTCAGGCAAATAAAATGCAACGCTGACCAACAGTACAACTTTTTATTGTAATAAAACTATCTGTAGAGGTTGGTCTATAATTATCTAAATGGTCATTGAGTCAGATATGGCCGGTAATTTTTGATTAATTAAAACTATCTGCCCCTGTGCAAATGGCTGCCATTAACCACATTCATGCTACCTCAGTGTGATTAGCAGTCCCGGTAGACCGGTTCCTTTGGAGGACGCAGTCCAGGTAGACCGGTTCCTTTGGAGGACGCAGTCCCGGTAGACCGGTTCCTTTGAAGGACGCAGTCCAGGTAGACCGGTTCCTTTGGAGGATGCATTCCAGGTAGACCGGTTCCTTTGGAGGATGCAGTCCAGGTAGACCGCTTCCTTTGAAGGACGCAGTCCAGGTAGACCGGTTCCTTTGAAGGACGCAGTCCAGGTAGACCGGTTCCTTTGGAGGACGCAGTCCAGGTAGACCGGTTCCTTTGGAGGACGCATTCCAGGTAGACCGGTTCCTTTGGAGGACGCAGTCCCGGTAGACCGGTGCCTTTGAAGGACGAAGTCCCGGTAGACCGTTGCCTTTGAAGGACGCATTCCCGGTAGACCGTTGCCTTTGAAGGAGGCATTCCAGGTAGACCGGTTCCTTTGAAGGAGGCATTCCAGGTAGACCGTTGCCTTTGAAGGACGCAGTCCCGGTAGACCGCTTCCTTTGGAGGACGCAGTCCCGGTAGACCGCTTCCTTTGGAGGACGCAGTCCCGGTAGACCGTTTCCTTTGGAGGACGCAGTCCCGGTAGACCGCTTCCTTTGGAGGACGCAGTCCCGGTAGACCGCTTCCTTTGAAGGACGCATTCCAGGTAGACCGGTTCCTTTGGAGGACGCAGTCCAGGTAGACCGTTGCCTTTGAAGGACGCAGTCCAGGTAGACCGGTTCCTTTGGAGGACGCAGTCCAGGTAGACTGTTTTCTTTGAAGGATGCATTCCAGGTAGACCGGTTCCTCTGAAGGACGCAGTCTAGGTAGACCGGTTCCTCTGAAGGACGCAGTCTAGGTAGACCGGTTTCTCTGAAGGACGCAGTCTAGGTAGACCGGTTCCTTTGAAGGATGCAGTCCCGGTAGACTGTTGCCTTCGAAGGACGCATTCCAGGTAGACAGCTTCCTTTGAAGGACGCAGTCGCGGTAGACCGGTTCCTTTGGAGGACGCAGTCCCGGTAGACCGGTTCCTTTGGAGGACGCAGTCCAGGTAGACCGTTGCCTTTGAAGGACGCAGTCCCAGTAGACCGTTGCCTTTGAAGGATGCATTCCAGGTAGACTGGTTCCTTTGGAGGACGCAGTCCCGGTAGACCGCTTCCTTTGAAAGATGCATTCCAGGTAGACCGCTTCCTTTGAAGGACGCCTTCCAGGTAGACCGCTTCCTTCTAAGGACGCCTTCCAGGTAGACCGCTTCCTTCTAAGGACGCAGTCCAAGTAGACCGCTTCCTTCTAAGGACGCAGTCCAAGTAGACCGCTTCCTTCTAAGGACGCAGTCTAGGTAGACCGGTTCCTCTGAAGGAAGCAGTCCAGGTAGACCGGTTCCTTTGGAGGACGCAGTCCCGGTAGACCGGTTCCTTTGAAGGACGCAGTCTAGGTAGACCGGTTCCTCTGAAGGACGCAGTCTAGGTAGACCGGTTCCTCTGAAGGACGCAGTCTAGGTAGACTGGTTCCTTTGAAAGATGCAGTCCAGGAAGACTGGTTCCTTTGAAGGACGCAGCCCAGGTAGACCGGTTCCTCTGAAGGACGCAGTCCCGGTAGACCGCTTCCTCTGGAGGACGCAGTCCCGGTAGACCGCTTCCTTTGGAGGACGCAGTCCCGGTAGACCGCTTCCTTTGGAGGACGCAGTCCCGGTAGACCGCTTCCTTTGAAGGACGCATTCCAGGTAGACCGGTTCCTTTGGAGGACGCAGTCCAGGTAGACCGCTTCCTTTGAAGGAAGCAGTCCCGGTGGACCGGTTCCTTTGGAGGACGCAGTCCCGGTAGACTGTTTTCTTTGAAGGATGCATTCCAGGTAGACCGGTTCCTCTGAAGGACGCAGTCTAGGTAGACCGGTTCCTCTGAAGGACGCAGTCTAGGTAGACTGGTTCCTTTGAAAGATGCAGTCCAGGAAGACTGGTTCCTTTGGAGGACGCAGTCCCGGTAGACCGGTTCCTTTGGAGGACGCAGTCCCGGTACACCGGTTCCTTTGAAGGACGCAGCCCAGGTAGACCGGTTCCTCTGAAGGACGCAGTCCCGGTAGACCGCTTCCTTTGGAGGACGCAGTCCCGGTAGACCGCTTCCTTTGGAGGACGCAGTCCCGGTAGACCGCTTCCTTTGGAGGACGCATTCCAGGTAGACCGCTTCCTTTGAAGGACGCATTCCAGGTAGACCGGTTCCTTTGGAGGACGCAGTCCAGGTAGACCGTTGCCTTTGAAGGACGCAGTCCAGGTAGACTGGTTCCTTTGGAGGACGCAGTCCCGGTAGACTGTTTTCTTTGAAGGATGCATTCCAGGTAGACCGGTTCCTCTGAAGGACGCAGTCTAGGTAGACCGGTTCCTCTGAAGGACGCAGTCTAGGTAGACCGGTTCCTTTGAAGGATGCAGTCCCGGTAGACTGTTGCCTTCGAAGGACGCCTTCCAGGTAGACAGCTTCCTTTGAAGGACGCAGTCGCGGTAGACCGGTTCCTTTGGAGGACGCAGTCGCGGTAGACCGGTTCCTTTGAAGGACGCATTCCAGGTAGACCGGTTCCTTTGGAGGACGCAGTCCAGGTAGACCGTTGCCTTTGAAGGACGCAGTCCAGGTAGACTGGTTCCTTTGGAGGACGCAGTCCCGGTAGACCGGTTCCTTTGGAGGACGCAGTCCCGGTAGACCGGTTCCTTTGGAGGACGCAGTCCAGGTAGACCGTTGCCTTTGAAGGACGCAGTCCCGGTAGACCGTTGCCTTTGAAGGATGCATTCCAGGTAGACTGGTTCCTTTGGAGGACGCAGTCCCGGTAGACCGCTTCCTTTGAAAGATGCCTTCCAGGTAGACCGCTTCCTTTGAAGGAAGCCTTCCAGGTAGACCGCTTCCTTTGAAGGACGCCTTCCAGGTAGACCGCTTCCTTCTAAGGACGCAGTCCAGGTAGACCGCTTCCTTCTAAGGACGCAGTCCAGGTAGACCGCTTCCTTCTAAGGACGCAGTCCAGGTAGACCGGTTCCTTTGGAGGACGCAGTCCCGGTAGACCGGTTCCTTTGAAGGACGCAGTCTAGGTAGACCGGTTCCTCTGAAGGACGCAGTCTAGGTAGACCGGTTCCTCTGAAGGACGCAGTCTAGGTAGACTGGTTCCTTTGAAGGATGCAGTCCAGGAAGACTGGTTCCTTTGGAGGACGCAGTCCCGGTAGACTGTTGCCTTCGAAGGACGCATTCCAGGTAGACCGGTTCCCTTGAAGGACGCAGCCCAGGTAGACCGGTTCCTCTGAAGGATGCAGTCCCGGTAGACCGGTTCCTTTGGAGGACGCAGTCCAGGTAGACTAGTTCCTTTCAAAGACGCAGGGACTTGAGTGGGACATAGTGACTGTCTGGATGGGGTGATTTGTGGATAACAGTAACCACCTTCCCCTTCAAACTAAAAATCTGGATTAAAATGTTCTGGAGAAAGTCAGAACAGGGACAGATTCAACCCCAAATCAAGACTGTTTTCAGTATTACTTCTGTAAATGTTTATTTTGATGTCTGTCTTGTATTTTAATTTTCCTATTCGATATGTGCTGCTGGTTGGACTTGTAGTAGTAGTTGTACTCACCAGTTTTTTGAATGTGGCATGAATGGTCTGCTTTTCCCTCAGGTTTCCGTTGTAGAAGGCAATCTCCTCGCTAACAGGGACAGATAAAAATGTCAATCAACAGACCTCCAAACAGTCAGAATATCGGTTAGCAGCATAGGGAGGATTCAGACCCACAGGAGGAAGGCGGGCCATCGCCACTGAGACGCTCACCTGTTGGTGATGAGACGGGAGTTCACATAGCGGTATTCTCCCTCATAGCGCTGCTCCGTCACAGTCATCTTTCCAATGGGCCTCCGGAGGCGGGTCAGGAACAGACCCGAGATTAGCAGGTAGGACATCATGATGGCTGGGCCCTTCAATTCCAACCAGAAATACTTTATCAATCAAATAACAAGCAGGACTGCTCTATGTACAGCAGGAAACGGTTCAGAGAAGAAAACAGTTCCCACTGCTGTAGATCAGCAGTAACCGTGCATTCCCACTGAGCCTCCAGCCCCTGACCTGGAAACCATACAGTCAGACTACAGTCAGTCTTCAGTCAATCTACAGTCCGTCTAATTATAATCATAATAATAATACTTTGGACTTCTAATGCGCTTTATATTTAAACAAATCCCAAAATGCTACATAGAATAACAGGTAAGTGCTAAATAAAAATACATGTAGAGCATGAGAAATAAAAAGTAAAAGATAAAATCACGAGACAGTGAAAAAAAAGGGGAGGAGTTCAATTAAAGCTCTCCTAAAAAGGTGGGTTTTAAGGCCACGTTTACAAACATCCGCAGACTGTGGGGACCTCAGGTGGCCAGGAAGAGCGCTCCACAGCCTGGGAGAGGCTGAAAAGAAAAGCCTGATATCCCATCGTACGAAGCTTCCTGCTTGGTGGTTTCAGCAGATATGTTGCAGTTGATCGGAGGTTACATGTTGAGGTCTGTGGTGTGAGAAGGTCATTAAGGTATGGTGGGGCATCACCATGGATGCACTGGTGGGTAAGGAGGGAAACCTTGTACTAGGGCTGGGCGATATAGAAAAAAAGCTTATCGATAAAAAAAATGCATATTGATCGATATCGATAATTATTGAAAAGATCTGAAACCATATTTTATGTGCAGCTCTGCCTGGACTTTTTATAATATTGCTAAATGATTTAATTTTAATAAAAAACACAAACACAGACTTCGACTTAAATCTTTATTTAACCAACTTTTATAACCATAACAGAATTGTTTTAAAGAAAAATAACTTAAGAGACCTGAGTTATGTTATTAAATACTGACAAAGAATAAACTAAAGTGACCAAAATAAATATAACAAATAAATAACTTCCCCCCACCGCCGCCGCCCCCGTTTCCTGCTTTAACCTGAGTTATTACTTTGAAGTTTCTGGCCCCTCAGCATTTTTCTCTCAATTGTTAGAACTACGTGGGAAACTGCCCAGAACCTAAAATATATATATATTTCCCGAAGATTCCTCGGAGGAGAGCCGCGTCGGGGCCTACACAGCTCGTACTCCTGCGGCTGTGAGCGGCTGAGATGATAAAAAAAAGTTGGTTTCGTTATCAGACTGGTTTTCACTGGTTCCCGACACATTTTCCAGATGACTGTGGTTTGTTTTTGGTCCGACTTGCCATGAACGAAATACTGCCAGACTGGCGAACTACAAGAACCTTTCTTTGGAACAGTTTCCTCCGCCTCTCCTTGCTGCATCTTCATGTGCTCTGTGTTGTGGTTTGAGAGGGCGGCGCTTGGTGACGGCGTGCCTGGGTCCGCGATTGTGATTGGTTGGGAGGAAGCAGTGACTAGCATAAACCTACATGCTAGGCTACAATGAGAAGGAAGGAAAACTGCGTTTCTTTTTTATCGAACTTTTATCGACCCTCTTTTTTTCTATTGCGCCACACGTCTATCGATCGATATATATTGTTATTGAATTATCGCCCAGCCCTACCTTGTACTCAATACTGAGTGCGACAGGAAGCCAGTGAAGTGATTTGAGGAAGGGGGTGATATGGTCATGTTTGCGCACCCTCATCAGGATCCGAGCAGCGCTGTTTTGTATGTATTGCAGCCTCTAAAAGGCTTTTCTCAAGGATCCCGATGAGGAGCGCATTGCAGTAGTCCAGCCTAGAGGAGACAAAAGCGTGGACAAGCTTTTCTGCATCTGCAGGAGTGAGTGTGGGGCAAAGTCTGGCGATGTTTCTGAGGTGGAAGAAGGTGGTCTTCCAGAGGTGTTTGATGTGAATGCAGGTCCATTTTAACACCCAGGTTGGTGGCAGATGTTGAAAGGGGAAGAGTTTATCCAGAGAAGGTGATCCTGGTGATGTCAGATGACCAAACATGGAAGGTAGTGCCAACTAAAATGGCTTCAGTCTTGGAGCTGTTTAGCTGAAGGAAGTTGTGCTTCATCCACACCTTTACCTCCTCCAGGCAGGTGGTCAAAGTTAATGATGGCAGAGGAGCAGAGGATATTGGGTTTGTCTAAAGTCAATCTACAGTCAGACTACAGTCAATCTACAGTCAGACTACAGTCAATCTACAGTCAGACTACAGTCAATCTACAGTCTGTCTAAACTCAATCTACAGACATACTACAGTCAATCTACAGTCCGTCTAAAGTCAATCTACAGTCAGACTACAGTCAATCTACAGTCAGACTACAGTCAATCTACAGTCCGTCTAAAGTCAATCTACAGTCAGACTACAGTCAATCTACAGTCAGACTACAGTCAATCTACAGTCCGTCTAAAGTCAATCTACAGTCAGACTACAGTCAATCTACAGTCAGACTACAGTCAATCTACAGTCCGTCTAAAGTCAATCTACAGTCAGACTACAGTCAATCTACAGTCAGACTACAGTCAATCTACAGTCCGTCTAAAGTCAATCTACAGTCAGACTACAGTCAATCTACAGTCAGACTACAGTCAATCTACAGTCCGTCTAAAGTCAATCTACAGTCAGACTACAGTCAATCTACAGTCAGACTACAGTCAATCTACAGTCCGTCTAAAGTCAATCTACAGTCAGACTACAGTCAATCTACAGACATACTACAGTCAATCTACAGACAGACTACAGTCAATCTACAGTCCGTCTAAAGTCCATCTACAGGAAGTGACTGCATACTAAGGAGGTAAAAGAGCCATTTAATTCAGGTGTGTGGAGCAAAGATGGATCTAAAAGTTGCAGGATACCGGCCCCCAGGAACTGGAATTGCCCACCCCTGGTCTAAAGTCAATCTAGTCAGACTACTGTCAATCTATAGTTAGTCTAAAGTCATTCTACAGTCAGACTATCTAGACTGTAGTCAGACTACAGACCGTCCAGTCAGACTACAGTCAATCTAAAGTCATTCTATAGTCAGTGGAATCAGACTACAGCCAATTTACAGTCAGTCTAAAGTCATTCTACAGTCAGACTAGTCAGACTGCAGTCAGATTACAGACCATCTAGTCAGACTACAGTCAATCTAAAGTCATTCTACAGACAGACTAGTCAGACTGCAGTCAGACTACATACAGTCTAGCCAGACTATAGTCAGACCACAGTCAGTCTAGTAAAATCAGTCAGACTACATACCGTCTAGTCAGACTACAGTCAGGCTAGTGAAATCAGTCAGATTACAGTCAATCTACAGTAAGTCTAAAGTCATTCTACAGTCAGTGTAGTCAGACTACTGTCTATAGTCAATCTACAGTCATTAACAATTTCCTCTTTTAAAAGATGAAATTGTCCAGTGAGCTGTTTCCAAACGAAATGTCTTTTTGTTTTACACTTGTGTAAACAAAATGACAAATAAAATCTGTCTAAAGTCTCTAAAAAAAGTCAGTCTCACCAGACTACAGTCAGACTACTGTCAATTTACAGTCTGTCTAAAGTAAATCTACAGTCAATCTAAAGCCAGACTACAGTCACACTACAGTTGATCTTCAGTCTTAAGTCAATCTACAGTCAGTCTCAAGTCACTCTACAGTCAGACTAGTTAGACTGTAGTCAGACTACAGACTGTCTAGTCAGACTACAGTCAGACTACAGTCCGTCTAAAGTCAATCTAGTCAGACTACAGTCAATTTACAGTCCGTCTAAAGTCAATCTACAGTCAGACTACAGTCCGTCTAAAGTCAATCTACAGTCAGTCTACAGTCAATCTACAGTCAGTCTACAGTCAATCTACAGTCAGACTACAGTCAGACTACAGTCCGTCTAAAGTCAATCTACAGTCAGTCTACAGTCAATCTACAGTCAGTCTACAGTCAATCTACAGTCAGACTTCAGTCAATCTACAGTCAGTCTACAGTCAGACTACAGTCCGTCTAAAGTCAATCTACAGTCAGTCTACAGTCAATCTACAGTCAGTCTACAGTCAATCTACAGTCAGACTTCAGTCAATCTACAGTCCGTCTAAAGTCACTCTACAGTCCGTCTAAAGTCAATCTAGTCAGACTACAGTCAATCTAGTCCGTCTAAAGTCAATCTACAGTCCGTCTAAAGTCAATCTAGTCAGACTACAGTCAATCTAGTCCGTCTAAAGTCAATCTACAGTCCGTCTAAAACAGGGCTGGGCAATTCCAGTTCCTGAGGGCCGCTACCCTGCAACTTTTAGATGTGTCTTTGGTTCAGCACACCTGAATCAAATAATTAGATGACTGAGAGAACTCTGGAGGAAGTGACTGCATACTAAGGAGGTAACCGAGCCTTTTAATTCAGGTGTGTGGAGCAAAGATGGATCTAAAAGTTGCAGGATACCGGCCCCCAGGAACTGGAATTGCCCACCCCTGGTCTAAAGTCAATCTAGTCAGACTACTGTCAATCTATAGTTAGTCTAAAGTCATTCTACAGTCAGACTATCTAGACTGTAGTCAGACTACAGACCGTCCAGTCAGACTACAGTCAATCTAAAGTAATTCTATAGTCAGTGGAATCAGACTACAGCCAATTTACAGTCAGTCTAAAGTCTTTCTACAGTCAGACTAGTCAGACTGCAGTCAGATTACAGACCGTCTAGTCAGACTACAGTCAGACTACATACAGTCTAGCCAGACTATAGTCAGACCACAGTCAGTCTAGTAAAATCACTCAGACTACATACCGTCTAGTCAGACTACAGTCAGGCTAGTGAAATCAGTCAGATTACAGTCAATCTACAGTAAGTCTAAAGTCATTCTACAGTCAGTGTAGTCAGACTACTGTCTATAGTCAATCTACAGTCATTAACAATTTCCTCTTTTAAAAGATGAAATTGTCCAGTGAGCTGTTTCCAAACGAAATTTCTTTTTGTTTTACACTTGTGTAAACAAAATGACAAATAAAATCTGTCTAAAGTCTCTGAAAAAAAATCAGTCTCACCAGACTA